TGCTGTAACTATGACTAATATTGCAACGTATGTCATTTTGGTTTTTGTTATTAGCCACCTGGACTAAAGCTCGTAACACTTCATTGTGGGAAATGGAAAATTTTCAGATACTGATCTGAGGAGGGAAACATGACACACAACAGCAAAGCGTGGATCAAGTAGTCATGCACAGACCTTTCAGCTCCCACCTCTTCCTTGCCCTTCCTTTCAGACTTAGCCTAGAGAAACTAGACAAGGGGAAACTCCACATACAATCTTCAGAGATACAAAAAGATAATGAAACCTCATGAATAGTGTAGAAAAACTGGCCGTAGGTTTTAAGAAATCACAAAGAAAACAGCATGATAGATACTATCCAGAAACTTAAAAAAAAATCTGTGGAGCAAGTAAAGGAAAGACAAAGCCATCCATGTGGCAGAGTGAGGGAAACACTTGCAGCGAAGGTTTAGAAGAAGTAATGAAGAAGGAAGAAATATGAGGGTCCTACTAACTAAATGATGAAATATAAATTGACCCTTTGCCAACATCAAGGTACACTATTCAGTGGCAGTGAAGGTGCAGTAAAAGCAGACACTCTTCAAATACTTGGAAAGGTGGACAGGCACATTTTAGGCAAGACATCTGGTTACAGCTTTAAGCCATTGCTATGCTTGGGATGTGGTTCACCCTCAGGGCCCAGGTGTGCAGTACTTGACAGGCCTGTGTGGTGGTGCTCCTTGTAGGAGGCTCTTAGGCCAATTACAGTGTGCTCGTGCAGGGGGTTGCAGACCCCAGCCTCGCTCTGGCTCCTGTCTGCTGGTCTCCCACACGTCCTGCTGCCACTAGCTATGACACATCCTAGGACTGAGTTTGAATCTCCAGAACTGTGAGCGAAATAGACCTTTCTTTATAAAGTTAGTCTGCCTCAGATATTTGATCATAATAATAAAAAAGGACTAAAATAATATTTGTTTCATTTAATTCCACTTCCAAGAATCTATTTGTAAGGAGATGTTCCTAAATACTGAAAGACTTTATGAATATAGTTCTTGGCAGTGTTAGAGTAACAAAACATTGGAATAAAAATTTACGGGGCCGGGGAGATGGCTCAGTGGACTAAGCGCTTCCCTGGCAAGCGCAAGGGTCTGAGTTCAATCCCTGATTCCGCAGAAAACAAAAAAACCCCAAAACCTCCCCCGCAAAATTTAACATTACAAGAACAGACTTACAGATTATAGAGTATGTACCTGACGGAAAATTATAGTTGCTACAGTGTTTACGGAGACCATACTAACACAAGGAAATGATTAGGATACAGTGTTAAATAGGAAACGAATTTCAGTGTATTAGCTCCTTTATGTTCTGGCAAAAGCATCAGTAGATAAATTGAAAGGCAGAAAAAGAGATCTGGGGAGATGCAAATATCAGCAGCCTCTGGAGGAGGTGGGTGTTGTGGATCTTTACAATTTCAGTCTGATACAGTCATACCTTCCAAATTTTATGTACAAAAATTTACATAAGTATGGAAAAAATAATTATGGCAAAATACTAGGTGAAGCAATCTAGTTCTTAGTGCCCCAGTCAAGCCCGATTTCCCCTGTTTAAGTCCATTCAGCAGGAGCGACGGCTTCATGAGCTCAAAATGTGTGCAGCAGGACCCTGCACAGAGCACAAGACTGACCAAGAACAGGGCTGTGCAGGAGGAGTGGCCGTGACAAAAAGGCCACAGCATCGGCCTTTGAAAAAAGCCCCAAACCAGGCAGGTGTGATCTTGAGAAATAACCACTCAGGAGCTTTCTGAGTGCTCAAAAGCACTCCGCAACAGTGACTCATAGGGCTCAACATGAGCTGATGTACACTAGCAATGAACAGGCTGAAAGCAGAATTAACAGTGCTACTTACAAAAGTATCAAAATAAATCAGATCACTTGGTCTTCCATTTAAAGTACAAAAGTTAAACTCTCAAAAGTGTTTAAATAAATGAAAGAACATGCTAATAAAAGAGGAGATGTCCATGGTCATGGATCTGAAGATTTGATATTGGGATGCTGGAAATACTCTCCTAATTGATTTACAATCCCTATCAAAATCCTGCTGACTTTACTGACACACTGACAAACTGACCCAAGAATTCGTATGGAAATTCAAGTGACTCGCATCGCTTTTTTAAAAATCCGGATAACGAGCTAGGTGTGGTGGCCCACGCCTGTAATCTCAGCGCTCAGGAGGCTGAAGCAGAAGGATCAAAGTGAATTCTAGGCCAGCCTGGGCTACATGAATTCAAGTTCAGACGGCACTCTATGGAGAGAGCCTGTTTGAAAAAAAAAAAAGACTCTGATAGTGTTCTCTAGCTTTCTCCTGCTGGATAAATGTCTGTGCAGATGACTTTATACTCACAGTTGAATAGTTGCCATTAAGGATTTATTGTACCTGTACTTTACCCTTCGGAAATGCAGAAACTCTCCCTCAGCCTTCTTTTTATAATCACAAAGAGCTATGTGGTAATAGGGTTATGATGGGCTGAGTCAGACTTCCACAGTGAAAACTTGCAGCAGAATGTCCTCTTAACAAGATGTCATCCCCAATATGAGAAAAATAAAAGGGATTCTGTTGTGATTGACAATCAAAAGGATTGCATTCCTATTTTCATACTCACGATGGATAGAAACTTAGTGTTAAATGTATTCACTTACATATTTTTAGTTTCATCATTTACATCTTAACAAAAAGCCTGGGGTTTGAATGTAAAAAAAAAAAAAATTGGGGCCAGAGAGACTGCTCAGTGGGCTAACATGCCTGCTTAGGCAAGCACAGGGATGGCAGTTCCATCCCGGGCCACATGCCATGAAAGCCCTGCCCCCAGGGCTGGTTGAGCTGGCCACAAAATAAATAAATAAATACATAAATAAAATAAAAATCAAGGAACCTAGAGTAGTCAAATTAACCTTGAAAAACAGGGACTCACATTTTCTGATTTCAAAATTCATGGTAGCTTTCAAAGTTATATTAACTAAAGTATTGTGGTACTGGTATAAGGAGAAACATAGACAAATGGAAAATAATTCACAGTCCAGAATAAACCCTCATGTTTTTGGTCAGCTTCTTTCTTTCTTTCTTTCTTTCTTTCTTTCTTTCTTTCTTTCTTTCTTTCTTTCTTTCTTTCTTCCTTCCTTCCTTCCTTCCTTCCTTCCTTCCTTCCTTCCTTCTTCTTTCTTTCTCTCTCTCTCTTTTTTTTTGTATTTAGTGCAGTATCTACAGGGATTACAGGGTTTACACAGATCAGACTTGTAGTGATACTCCTGTTTTCAGCCTCTCAAACGCTGGGATTATGGGCATGTGCCACCACACCCATTCTCAATCAGTGTTTCAGCATGCCTCGGGGGTGGGGCCGGCACAGCAGGCCAGGGATTGAACCTCCAACCCCTGCATCAGCTAATTTCTGACAAGGTTACCAAAACAATTCAATGAGAAAAGAATAATCTTTCCAACCAGTGGCACCAGAACGACTATATATTTACATGCAAAGAGAAAAGCTGGATCTCCTACCTCACACAATATATGAACATTAATTTAATATGGGTCAGAGAGGGCCACCCAGATAGCTCAGCGGACTAAAACACCTGCTTAGGCAGGCACAGGGCCTGGGATTCGATCCTTGGCGTGCTGTGCTGGCCCTGCCCCCAGGATGTGCTGAACCGGTGACTAAGACTGGGCGTGGTAGTGCGCACCTGTAATCCCAGTGCTTGTGTGGCTGAAAACAGGAGGATCCTTGTGTCTGATCTGTGTAGTGAGACCCTGTAGATCCTGTACTAAATATATGTCAGAGACTTAAATGTAAAAGTGAAAATGGTACAATTCTACAGGAAAATATGATTAAATATTCATGACTTTGAATTAGGCAGCTTTATTAAATACAACAAAAAGCACAATGCATTGAGCTTGAGGTGCACACCTATAATGCCAGCGCTCAAGAAGCTGATATAAGAGGATTTCCATGAGTTGGAGGCCAGCCTGGACTGTGCAGTGAGAACTTATTTCAAAAACCAACCAACCTATCAAAAACAAAACAAAAACCCCCAACTAACCAAAAACTTAAAAAGCACTGATGAAAAAAAAAGTAAAATAAGACTTCATCAGTACTATCAAGAAAAAGAGAATCCATAGAATGGTAGAAACTATTTGCAAAGTCTATAATTCTTTTTTGTTCGTTTTGTTGTTGTTTGTTTGAGACAGGGTCTTCTTACGAAGTTCAGGCTGGCCTTGAGCTCACTTTGTAGCCTAGGCTGGTCTCAATTCCCAAGGATCCTCTTGCCTCAGCCTCCCAGAGTGCTGGGATTTTGGGCGGTCATGTGTGCCACCACGCCCATCACAGATCCATTTAATTTTTTTTTTAATTTTATTTATTTATTTATTTAGTGTGTGTGTGGCCTGCTCAGCCCACCAGGGGGCGGGACTGGCTGGCATGTGGTGCTGGGGACTGAACCGCGGTCCCTGTGCTTTGCTTAGCTTAGCTTGTTCTAAGTAGGTGCTTTAGACTACTGAGCCATCTCACCAGCCCCACAGATCCATTTAAAAAGATACTAACAACAAAAATAAGCCAAGAATCTGAATAGCTATTTCTCCAAAGAAGATAAGCAATCAAGCAATAAGCATATAAAGATACTCAACAGCATTTACTATCAAAGAAATGCAAATCAAAACCACAGTAAGGTAGCCACTTCATAGTCACACAAGTCTACAATAGCCTACAACACACCACATAGTCTACCACAATAAAAACATTCCAGCCCGATAAAGGAGACCCAAAACCACAAACAACAAGTGCCAATGTGAAAACTGAAACCTTCACATATTGCTGAGAGGAATGCAAGGTCTTTGGAAAACAGTTCAGCAGATCCTCAAAAGCCTATACACAGAGCTACTGTATGACCTGGCACTCTACCACTAGGATGAACTCCAGTACAAACAAAGGTCCACACAAGGACTTACACTCACATGTTCACAGCAGGCTAGAGTCCCAAAGTGGGAACAACCCGAATGCCCATCCACTGATGAGTGGATATGTGATAGGAGACAAGTGCCTAAGAATAGAATAGTACCAGGCAAGTAAAAGGAATTAAAAAAAAAAGAATGAAGTATGAATTCACACTACAATGTGAATGTTGAAAACATGCTGCGTGAGAGAAGCCAGTGTCAGCAGACGGCGTGGCTCCACTTTCACACCATGTCCAGAATAGGGAAGTAGACAGAAGTGAAAATACATCAGGGTCATCTGGGGCTTAGGTTGAGGGGAAATAGGAATCCTACCGAAAGGAAGGTTTCTATTGAGCGTGATGAAAATGATTCTGGGACTGGTTGCACAACTCCCTAAATACACTAAAAAGCACAGAATCAAATTCAAGACTCTAAATGGGTTCATTGTGTAGTACATAAATTATATCTCAATAAAATTGTCACTAAACAGGGCATTGGACCTGATTCCACCCTCATCCATATGAGACACAAGCCTGAACTTTGAATTATAGACTAGTATGTGTGGCTGCACAACTAGATTTTGAAGGTACTTTGTTTTTAGAAAGCATCTTCTTCTTTTTTTTTTTTTTTTTTTGGTGGTACCAGGAATTGAACTTGAGACCTTGAGCTTGCTCAGTAGGCGCTTACGCTGCTGCGCTATATCCTCAATCCTAGTATTTTGTTTTAAGCCCATAGGCTTTCTTGAAAACTAAGTGCAGGGAAACATGATTGCTCCCCCAAGAATGACACAGAAAGGTACCATGGGCTTCTAACTCCCAGAGGGAAAATATGTAGTAGCTCCAGAAACATGGCCACAGTGTCCTATACTTGGTCTTCCACAGAAGCAAGGGGCTCCCATCAGCAGCCCCAGACTCCGATCTCCATGCTGTTCAGAGTGGGGCCTGGGGAGACTCAGAGCTGCCGAGCTGCTGGCTTGGGTCAGAGTGAGGATGGGCCTGTGGACCTCCCGTCTCCTTTCTGCTGGACACTGAACTGTATCTCCCCAGAGTATACATGCTGTAGCCTGAACTTCCAATGCTTGGAGTGCACTTAGAGATGGGGCCATGGGAGGTAACTTGTTTAAATAAGGTCACGAGAGTGTGGCCATCATGACGGAACTGCACCTTTATAAGAGAGATGCCAGAAAGCTTTGCCACTCTTTCTGCCATGCAAGGATGCAAGAAGGCAAGCCACCAGCAGGCCGGGAAAAGGGTCCTCACCAGGCTCTCACCACAGATACGCTGATCTTGGAAGTCCAGCCTTCAGGGTGAGAATAAGAAAATACATTTCTCTTGTATCAGTCACTTAGTCTAAGGCAGTGGTGGTGGATCTGTTAGAACTTTCAATGATAAACAGCTCACTGTGGGGCATGGGTCACAGGTTCACCACCACTGGGCTACAGTATTTAGTTATAGCAACCCAAAGTGATTAAGCCAGCTTCCAAATTCAGAAGCCCATGAGACAATTATGTGCTGTTCACAGGCCGACCAAGAGGATACTGCTGCAGCTTCTGCTGCTGGTTCATGGAGCCTGAGTGGTGGATAATCTTGCGCAGACCCAGCACCCAGTGCTGGGCGTCGACTGGAGATGGGGCGATGAGGTCAAGTGTGTTGCGCTGGTCCTTGAAGATGATGGAGAAGCACCGGTCCTCGGGTACATCCCGGGCAAACTTCTCCAGGCCCTCTGTGTGGTGCCCCATGCGCACCTCCTGGATGTCCTCAATGGAGACTGCAAGAAGGGGGCAGTGAGGGAGGGGGAAGGGCATCCTCACAGGGCATCTCTGCCCTTGACATGGGCAAGCCCATAGTGGAGGGGGCACAGAGTAGAGACACAGCTCAGCCCAGAGCTTAAGCCTTGAGTCTGTGATGCAGGCAGACGGGTGAGGGGGGGGTGTCGGGGGGGGAGTGACAAAGAGGAAGGGGAGGCCAAGGAGTGAGGTGGAGACAGAGCATGAGACAACCACAGTGGGCAGAATGGAAGCCCGAGGGGAGAGACAAAGACCTTAGGGCAGCAAGCGTGCCTAGGACCCCAGGCTCGCTGGCTGTCTCAGTGGTAGAGGGGAAAGAGCCCTTGCAGGAGGACTAGGAGAGGGCAGGGTTTTAGGCAGAGATAGGAAGAGATGAGGCAAGTAGGCTCCTGCTTGTAGTGGACATTGGGCCTGTGCCTCCCACAACACCAGAGGTTCCAGGTGCCTCTCCTGACCCACCCACAGTCAGCTGTGGCCTTGGGGTCTGGGGACAGATGACCAAAACCAGAAGGAGCAGTACTTGTATGAGAACGTGGACAAGGCCTTGCCTAGTGTGTGTCTGTGGGGGCTGACTTCATGGAGTCCCCCCAGAGGGCTGCAGGAAAGAAGGCCTTGCCCTTTGGAGTCCTGAGAGGCAGAGTGGAGGCAGCCCCTCAGGGATCTGAGAGATCCTATTGTGCTGCCCACAGCAGCCAGAGGGAGGGCCTTCCCGTCACAGCTCAGGCTGTGGCGAGAGCCAAGACCCTATCTCCCCACCACTCCCACCCCCTACCGTCCTGCAGAGCCTGGCTCAGTGCCAGCCTCAGTAGCCAGGCTCATGAGTGCTATGCAGCAGGATCCAGGCTCTGCCTTGCTCCACCCCCATCCTGAGCCATCCTCATCCATCCGTCCTTGGTCCTAGAGAGGCTGTGGCTAAAAGTCCACATGAGTGGGATACGTGAGACCTGGGCCATCTGGGGTGCAGAGCATATCCCTGTCTAATCCCTCTGGGCCCCCCTAGACCTACCCTGGGGAGCTGCAGCTGCTCTAAGCTGGGAATGGAAACAGGAAGCCTGGGCCCTGGAGCTTTCACCTCCCCATAAGAAGTCCAGCTCCCCTTGTTGTGATAAAGCATGTCCATCTGCGAAGCTGTCAGCATGGGCATGGGGGTGGCTTTTGGGGAACAAGGCCCGGAGCCAAAGAGAAATGGGGGATGCTCCACTCCTTCAGTGAGGCAGAATGCAGTTGAGGACAACTGTCTTAAAGCTCACCCAAGAGACAGAGGTGAAGTTCAGTGTCTCTGACCTGGAAGAAAGCCTCTTCAGACTTCACTCTGTACCCAAGCACATCTGGCTCCCAGACCTCCGGGTACAGGCCCTTAGCCAGCCACTCACATGTGTCCCCCACCCCACGCTGGGTCTCCTGCTTGGAATGCACTTTTTGTCCTTTGCTCACAATTGTCCTGGTGTGAGGCTCTTACCCTGCCCAGCCCAGCTGGGAGCTCCTGCCAGGGTCTACTGCTCCTCACCCTGCCCCCTTATCCATCCACCATCAAGCTCTAGGAATACACTGGTGAGCCGGGATGCATACTGGCAGGGGGTGAACTCCAAGCCTAAGATCCCTGTTCCCACTGTGTCCCCCTGGCCAGCATCTAACAGGAAACCCACTATCAGGGCAGGAGCCTAGGGAAGGAGGCTGTCTGGCGCCATAGACAGAGGCAAGGTCAGGGGTTCCTCCTGTACAGTGAGGCAGGGTAGGGGCTCAGGGTGGTTGACTGAGAACATTTAGGAGCCTCATCTCTTCAGACCTGGCCTGGGCCTTCTCAGAAGCGTTCATAGCCCATAGCCCAAGGGCCCATCAGGTTCTCCTCATCTGCCTTACTCTTGTCCTGCCTTACCTGGGCCACACCACAGGCCACAGCCATATCCTCTCCTGGGTAGCAGGCACCCCCAGGACACACACATACCTGGGACTGAGCTGCTTCTTCTTTGTGCTATGCATTTCCTCTACCTTGGGTCAGGCACTGTGTCTGGTCTTGTTTCCACAGACCTGCCAGCCAGTTCACCCTGCCTCCCCGCAGCCCTAGTCCAGGGCGAGTAGATGAAGGGTCAAGGGCTTGCCAGGGGTCTCAGTTTTGGGAAACCCAGACTGCAAGGTCCTGTCTGCATTGTCCAACTGATAGTCAACTGTACCTGTCACTATTTAAATACACATTAGCCAAAGTACAATGTCAACCTCACTTTTTCAGTCATACCAGCCACATTTCAAGGGCTGAACAGCCTCTTGCAGTTGGTAGCTTCCATAGTGGGCAGTGCAGAGATAACATATTCATATTCCACTGGTCCAAAATGTTCCCACCAAATCAAGGGGCCACCCCAGATGGGACTGCCCCATTTAAAAAAAAACAAAAAACAAAACCAAACAACAAACAAACTTTTTTAGGGAACTCCTGCATTAAAGGGCAAAATATAAGCAGAGCTTCCTCTCTAAGGTATAGCAGAGCAGGCTCTCCATCTGCTGCCCTGGCCTTGAGTTCCTGGGCCTTTTCTGGAATCTCCAGAAAGCCCTCAGGCCCATATTCTTCAAGGAGGACCGCTGGCAAGGACTGTCTCTGTATGCCCCAGCCCCCTCCATCCCAACCCCTTTGGGCTCGAGTCCCAGGGAGGATCTCCAGTGACTCCACCTCACACCCGGAAGTGCCTTATCTGCCTCTGGACTTTGGGCCTGGCTTTTGGCCTACCACACCTGCAATGCTAATTCACCCAGCAAGCCTCCTTCCCACATCTGCATGGGTGGATGCTTGTGAATTCAGACAATCCTGTCAGCTCCCTCCCTGATTTGAGTCTGGCTATCCCCATCCATCCTCATGGTTGTGTGTCCCCACCCCCAAAGAGTTTTACTACTTGTGGTCCTTGTTCCTCAATTCTTACCTCCAACCCAGTTTGGGCCTCAATTTCCCTAAAAGTGGTTTAACCAGCTCCTATTCTGATCCCAGCCAGGCAATTTCCTCATTTCTGGTCCTGCCTGCATGCATGACCCCCATCTGCAGCCATGGATCACCATGGATCCCCACCCCACCCTTCTGCTTTCTTCCCCCTCCTGTGTGCCCAGAACACTCACACAGCTGAGACTCTGGGGACCTCATGACCTTGCGAGACTCTTGCCAGATGGTCTTGCAGTCCTCCTGCAGCTTGTAGAAACGTTCTCTTCGCCATGAGCTGGACTTCACCTTCAGGAGCTGGCTCCCCTTAAGTAGAGCCTGTAGGTCCTTGTCATCTTGCAGGCCTAGAGGGCCAATACTGGTAAGAGACTACTTCCTCTACCGTTGTCTCTGCTGTCTTTAGTTCTGCACTGACCTGAAGCCTCATCTTCAGGTCTCTGTGTGCTTCCCCCTCCATCTACATTCCAGCCCCTTCCCAGGGCCCTACCTCCTCCAGGGAGTCTTCTCTGACCACCAGTTGAGGTGTCTGTGCACACAGTGGGATGGCTGCCAACCAAGGACCACACTTACTTACCCGTGGAGACCTGCCTGCCCACAGCTGGATGGCCAAAGGAAAGGCAACTATTTCAGGATTCCCTGCTTTCTGGAGGATGAGGACTCTAGGAAATAAGTTCTAAATGATGAGGTAAGCCCCTCTTGGTCTTACACAGAGGTCTGAAGGAAGCTGGGACTAACAGACCAGGCAAAGCAGGGAAGAAGAGCAGACCATCTGTGTGATGGTTTCTATCTCGATATCCCTAGAGCTGTGTGTGCTCACAGGGGGGCTTTTGGAAGGTGACTGGCTTACTGGGGCTTATGGCTGACCTCTGTAAGAAGGTGAGGTCTGGTAGAAGAGGCACTGGGGACATGGCCTGGGAGGGTTTGCCTCCCTTCCCTGCTCCTCCCTTCTTTGTCTGCTCCCCCTCAGCATGAGGCCAGCAGCTTTCCCCCCAGCACACCCCAGTACCATGCCATCCAGCCTTGGAGCCAGGGCACTATGAAATGAGACTTTCATAAACTGCAAATGAAAATAAACCTCTTCTTTAATTTTGGGGTGTTGGGTATTGTGTCCCAGTAATGAGAAAAGACTAAGACAGATGGAATGAACCTCTATGCGCTACGGAGCTCAACAATGTCACAATCATTTTTGCCTAGGTTTCGGCATCCTTTCTGACTGGCTGTGTGACCTGGGTAAGTGACCCTATGGGGCAGGGCCTCTGCTTTCCTGTCCACAAAATGGGATAATAATAGCACCCATCTCAAGAGGGAGTTCTAAGTTTTAATGAGAAGATGCTTAACTTAGAGGTCTTGAAGCAACAGCAGTTGTAGTTCTTGGTGTCAACTCTGTGGTTGCTGTGGGACCCTTTGGTTATCTCCATCATCCCTCTTCCCCGCTTCCCCAACCCCTGAGTGGAGTGTATCTGAGTAGGTCTGTGATCTTTGCTCTCAGAGGAAGAGAAGAGTGAGGCCACTGCAACTTGTATTTAGCCTTCTAGGTTGTTCCTGTACCTTTCCACCCAACTGCCATCTCTAAGAGCCCTGAGTCTGGGATCCCTTAAGGCACAGGGCAGCCCTGTTTTAGAAACTGAGGCAGAGCCCACAGGGAGGCCAGAACCTTGGCTGCTTGTCCCACTTGCAGCTGCCCTCAGAGCTTCAGGCTGCTGAGGCATGGGCTCCCAAAGATGCCCAGGTCCCCGCAGGAGGCACAAAAAGGATACCAAAATTGACCCCTCAAGAGGTGTTGCTCTCCTGAAGATGCCAACTGTGATAAAGGAGACCTTCACTTGGCACCTTAACAATCTGCTAATGTAATACAGAGATAGATACATCTAGAAGGATGTGTGTGTTACCCTAGTCATTATAGCCCAGCAGTCGGCTCTGTTCAGAGCCAGTTGACCACCTCAACTCTGTTCTCAAACCGTGTGGCCAACCAGGAATCTCTGTCATGTTGGTCCAGCAGAGTGCTGGTATCAGGGAGGCCCAGGTCCAGTCCAAGGTCTAGTGCCTTGGCCTACATGGTGGAGCCCATCACAAAGCCATAGCTATTTTCTTTTCTGAGCCAGATTCCCAACCTCAGATATCCTCTCCTATTTTATCCATCCTCCCTGCCCCCAGCCAGCCTGCTCCACAAATCCACAGGGCCCACAGGAAATCCTGGACCACTGCTCTGGGCCTCTGCCATTACACTCTGTTTTTCCCCACGTTGGGACTTCCAGTGAGGACTGAGGCTCACACCATCCATTCTCTGATGGCTTTTGGCAACTTCTTTCCTTCTCTGTGCCTCTGTTCTCTCATCTGGAGGTGGTGGTCTGATGTGGGCTTCCCACATCTCTGCCATAGATCTGTCTACCCACTTCCAGAAGACACTCTGCCTTAGCATGGGCACTGGGGTCCACACAGAATGTTCCGAATTCTTGGATATCTGAGGGGCCCAGCACAACCGGGAGGGTAAGGTAGTTCCCAGGTTGCCAGGCGAGACAGCCACATGTGGCCTCTGCTGGGAGATTCCACTGTCCTTTCTGTGGCTAAGGTACAACTTGGAGAAATATCTCACCATCTGCCAGCACCCCACCCCCTAAGCTGGCACACATCAAGGCAAGCCTTGGCTGACAGGTCAGATGGGAATGGGGGAGGGTGTCAGGAAGTAGAGGGTGACCTCCTTCCTCCTGTTCTGGAAAACACCATGAAGGGATAACATGTTCATCCTGTCCTGGAGCTGAGCTGCAACCTGTCTGTGGTTGGGCAGCGATAAGCCCCAGGCTGACAGGACTGCAGGTGGTAGACCTCAGTCTTAGGTGGGATAGCTACTCTCAGGAAAGAGGACAGTCACTGCTCTCTGGGCCACTGGGAAATGTGAGCAGGTGCCTCCATTGCCCAGCCTCAGTGGGGTCGCTTCTGTCCCCAAGGCCTCTGGGTTGCCTGCCCTTCTGCCCTTGCTTCCTGAGCATGCAGAGTCTGTGGGCCTCTGCATCCAGCCCCCCTCACTCAGCTGCAGGGCCTTCTCAGCAGGAGGCTGAGCCCTCTTGGGGCTCAGGGGCCTTGGATCGATGCTAAGCCTTCACCAACATGCTCAGGTTAGCTGCCTAGGAAAGTGGCCAGGAATAGGTGCCAGTGGGAAGCTAGAAGGTATCAGCAGACCTGCCCATTACACACCTGTCCCTGAGGTGACACATAATGAGGACACACTGGGCCTGAGATCCACAGCTGTGCAAAGCTGCAACGGGATATGGTCACACCCTGACACATGCCACCACACACAACCACACAATGTCAGACATACTATTGAAGAGACAATGAGCCACATTACATCCCCAAACTACACAGTTACCTGGATTTGCACAGTGCTACCCTTAGTCACATATAGCACACAACACACAATGCCAGGGCATCATTATTGGGATGATAACAGCAGCCACACTAATAATAGTTAATATTTGAGTAAGATGCTCTTCGTAGAACATATATTTAATCTCTCAACAACACTAGAAGGAAGGCAGAATCATTAGCTCCATTTTACAGGTGAAGAAAATGAGGCTAAAGGAAGTTGCGTGGTGGAGTTGGGACTCAGAAGCAGGCTACCTGCCCACAGGTCAGGGCTATGAAACATTACGCAGCCACCACTCCTGGGACACACTTCCACAGTGTAATAGCATAAAAAATCCCATGTAACACAGAATGACAGAATAACTCAGTCACTTTGGGCGGCCCTCTGATACAGCAGTCAGACTAGCTCACCTACCATCTCACTGGGTTATGTGCAGGTACCCTTGTGTCACACTGTCACACACATCACACACTTGGTTACATACCATTACACAGCAACACCACTATACAGTGGCTGTGCAAGACTGCATGGAATCAGTCAGCACTGAATCACCCATAAGTGTGTCACTCTTGTCACACAGACACGCATTTGCTCAGCACCACACTGGGGCACACATAGTCCTGTAAATCACCTCATGGGGGTACACAGTCATCCCAGGTACACTCTGGGCCACATGTCCAGGGGTGCCTCAGAAATCTGTTAGCAGACCTGGTTTGGGATGACAAGGGGTGGTGAGTTTGGGATGGGCTAGGGGTGATCAGGAGAAGGGGCAACCAGACACCCCATTACTCTCCTCCACATGTCACCACTACTAACACAAACCCCGCAGAAGGAAAGAAACAAAGGCTCCACATCGATGCAGTCAAAAGCAGGTGACCCCCAGGAACAAGTGGTTTGTGTCCTGCCCAGCTGCCTTTCCAATCCCTGCAGTTCTCAGTCTCACCCATGTCCCTTACCCAGCCTCTTCCCATTGAGCGCTGCCACCTTCAGGCTCTGCTCCTGCAGGTAAAGCTCCCTGGAGCGGCTCCGGCTCCGGCGCCGGCTCCGGCTCCGGCCCCCCAGGCACTGCATGGTGTTCCACAGTGCCTCTACCACCTGAAGCAGGAACCCAGACCGACAGTGTAGACTGAACGCTTGCCTGGGTCAGGGGGCGGAACCACCCAAAGAGCCCCGGTAAAAAGGGTGGAGCTAGAGCCCAGGAGGAGGCGGGGGTATGGGGAGAAGCTGGGGCTCTGCAGCAGAAAAATCTGGACAGAAGGGGCGGGGCCAGACTGAGGAGGTGGGGCTCCCAGTGGGCGGGGCCACACAGAGGGGCGGGGCAGACCCTTCCTGAAGGAATACAGGAGGGAAAGAGTGGGAGTAGAGTCCAGTAGGCAGGACAGGGAGGGGCTGGGCTAGGGAGGCCCAGCCCGGCAACTCCATAACTTAGGAACCTGAAAAGCCGAGCGAGGAAGAGGAATCCGGCTAGGGAGGCGGGGCTCAGGCCGGGATTCACTGTCCCGGAGGCGACGTGGTGGCAGCGCACATCCAGGAAGCAGATGGAGGCGGAGCCAGGACGAGACCCAGAGGATCCGGCGTTGCGAAGGCGCTGTTCCGCAGGGGAGGGAAGGAATCTCAGCCTTGGAGGCAGTGCGGAACAGGGGCAGAACCTGAACCGAGTGGCCAGAGCCCACCCGCCCCGCGGCTGGCCGGAGTCACCACGGTTGTCGGGGGCTGCGGGAGGTAGAAGGCTAGAGCTGCGGAGGGAGTTCCCAGTGGGCTGCAGAATTCAGCTGAAAATCGAATGGGACGGGGCCAGGCAGAGCTGGGCCTGGGGCTGGGTCAGTAAACAGAAGCCACCAAAATATATTTAATTTTATGTATTTGGTACAGGCTCTCGCTACACAGCTCGGACTTGTAGTGATTCTCCTGTTTCAGCCTCCCTAGTGCTGAGATGCTGCGTGTGCTCCTAAGTGCTCCTAAGTGCTCCTAAGTGCTCCTAGTGCTGCGTGTGCTCCTAAGCCCGGTTTCAGCTCCGGGCGGGGTTGGCACGGCACACAGTACGGGGAGGTCGAACCGGGGTCTTTGCTCTTGCCAGGCAGACGCTTAGACCCCTGAGCTATCTCCCTGGCCCCCTACCACATATTTTAACGTCGGTTATTCAACGCATTCATTGTGACCTAGCTTGCAGGTTTCACTTTGTGAGGCAAATCTGTTTTCTTTCCTTACTTTGCTCATCTTAGTGGAGTTAATCCCCAGCGTGTCCCCAGATGCAAATGGAAGTCTTGGGAAAAATAAATGCTGACCTTAAAAGAAGCCTATTAAATCAGGCTTGCCTTGATGAATATAGATGAGAATGACAGTAACTTTGTACAAAACTGTGCTGCCAATGTGCTTGGGGTAACAGTGGGTCCTTTCATGTGCATTACAACTCTTTCATTCACCCAGCAATTATTTATTGAGCTCCTACTGTGTGCCAAGGTCAGGACACCACCCAGGGGCCTGACTCATTTCTCTCTTTTACTCTCTGCCTCTGAAGAGTTCCCTGATTGGCCTCGCTGAAGCACAAACAATGAGTCACTAGCAAAGCCAGTTTTTGGCTCAGAAAAGCAAGGCAATAGTAACAGAAAACCGAAGTGCATAGTGACATGCCTAAGGTCACACCACAGAGAATAACCAGCAAGGTATGTTAGTGTAGAAGGAGCCGAAACAGACACAGAAAAGAAGTTCTTCATTTGGAGTCAGAGGCACAGAGTGTAAGGGTCTCCTGTATTATAAGGAAACCAAACACAGGGGCTCTTAACTTGAAGGAGGACCTCCAGAAGACATGTGGATAGAGTCACCTCAATATAACTTCCTCCCTTTGAGTTCTTATGTGGTTTATTGCATGCATTTAAAAACATGGTCACAAGGAGGTCCATATGCTCTATCTGACTGCATACACACACATTTGGGACAGACAGCTCTCAAACAGAACTGCACAGCTGGGGAGCTGGCCATCCTTTGGGAAGCCTTGCTTTTTGGGTAATCTAGGTGTCCTAAACACAGGGTATGTTTTATCCTCGCAAGATCTCCTATAAAATATACATTGCTATCCCATGGATGAGAAAACCAGGCCAGAAAGGCAAAGGGATCCCACAGTAAATAGAAGTAAGGCCATAATGGACCTCAGGTCTCCTGAGGCCAATATTAGGTCCCTTTACCTTCCACTTTCATAAATAGCAGTTCTTGAAATAGGGTAAGAGACCAGTATAGGAAAGGTTAGTGGTAGTGAATGTGTTTGGTGAAAGGGAGGGACCTGGGAGGTGACGACCTTTCAGGCATACCTGGGGACCTGCGGGAGAGGCTAGTCCAAGCCTAGCTAAAGTATGCAGAGCAGAGGAAGTGGGCTGGGGGGAGGGGAAAGAGGATGGAACTGTAGGATGAATTGGAGGGCTTCAGAGGCACTTGCAAGTGCTCCTTGGTTCCTGAATTCAGTTCTGGCTACATCTTCCTTGGCTAGGGATTACTCAATGGTAGCCCAGCATCTCCCAAAGGACTGAAGATAGCAATGCACAGGGTATGGTCCCTTGGGAAGGGGCATTCTACAGGTACACAGTGCTCTCTGGACACCAGGTGCTATTACAAACTGCTTTACCGATATTGCCTTATTCAGTTCTTACCCCAATCCTATGAGGTAGATGGTGTTTAGTCTCTATTTTACAGATGAGGAAATGGAGCCACAAAGAATTAAAGGATTTGTGTGACATGAAAAAGCCAAAACTGAGCTCAAGTACTTTGCTTACAGCATCAATATGGGGACAGGTGAGCCTGTAAACCCCTAGTAAATGGGGAACTCAGCTGGCACTCCTGCCACAGATCCTCAACTGGCCAACCCGGAGTGTGTGGTCCTGTAGCACAAGTCCAGGACTGTGGGGTCTATAGTGTGAAAAGACTCCAGTGGAAATATAGACAGCCTGGAATAGCACTGGGCATAATGACCACCCCTTCCATCACCAGTTCTCCTTGGCCGACTCTTCCCCATCTGGTCTGCAGTGCAGTGAGAAGGCAATTAATGGAGGTGATTTGGGATGATAAGTTAGAAAAAGCAGGACTTCAGTTTGGGGTCACAGTGTTCGGGCCAGCCTTGAAGGGAAGGCTGGGACTGAGTCATACACTTGATCGGCTGGCTTTACACAGGATGAGGCTGTGTGGCCAGCCCCTGGCACCAGAGTGGGAGGCTCTGACTGAACCTGCATAAGTCTTCCTCCAGGGGAAAGACAGCAGGGTTGCCCAGAATGGGGCAAAGGTGCAGATACCCAGGGTGGAGACCATGCTCACCAATGCTAAAGCTGCCATTCTGTCAGAAGCAACTGGAAGGCTTTGAGGAGTTCTGTGTGTGAGGTAGGCAGGGAAAAGATGGAAATCTGCTGAGTAGCCTGGCTAGCTAATGCACGGTGGGGGAGAACGCAGGGGTCTCCACTGTGGTCCTCTGAACTCCCAGGTCTCGTCACACTGGTGTGTCAGGAGCACTAATGAGGCCTCTGGTCTCAACAGAGATGAAGCAAGGGAAGGGGCGGGGATTCCTGGACCCAGCTGGAGGAAATGGCTTTGAGAAATCCTGACCTGGTCTCTCTGGGCTCTGGGCAGGTACTAAGAAGCACAGACTCTGGGCTGGTCAATGGGCACATCTTTAGGGGGACTGAAGTGAGGGTTGGAGGGCTCTGCCTTTCTCTTCCCTATCAGTTATCTCCACGAAACGTTTATTTGGATGGGCAGTGGACACTAAAGTCTCAATCCCCAAGGCATTGGAAAAGACAGGGATATATAGTTAAGTAGTGATTGGTGTGAGAGGGGCAGGGTTTGCTGAACTGGCCGATGATCCCAGGGGACCAGAGGGCAAAGCCGCCCCAAGGGTGGATGAGTTCCCGGCCTGAAGCAGAGATGCCAGGTTGCTCTCCTCTTCTCCCAGAGGCCTCCAGACCTTGCCGTCAGGAACTCAGGTTCCTCTCCGTTGCTGGGACAACGGTAAGGCAAGGAGCTGACCCAGGCGGAGGAAACAAAGCTCGGCTGGACAAAGGATTGCAGCCGCACAGATTCTGAGCTGAGAGCTGGCCAGACCCGCCCGGAAGGGCCGGTGCTCCTCTGGGTGGCTCAGGGCAGTGAAAGCTGCTGGGTCCGACCTCCGCCAAACTTGCACACCTCCTTAGCCCACCCCTTACGCCCGCACCCCGCCGCACCCGCGCGGCGCTATGCGATCTAGCCAAGCCCGCCGCCTGGGCTTTGAGGAGGCTGTAGGACGACTGGAGAACTGTCTTTAGTGAATGTAGTTTCTCCCCCAGCCCCTACGTGAGATCTGGGTTCCGGGAAGCTCAGTCTTTTGTTGCAGAATAAGGGGACTCCCCGAAGGGGAAGTCTGCAGACCCGTACCGCTCCCCGAACTCGCGGGCCAGAAGTGGGGACGAGTCTGGGACCGCCCAGGGAGGCCAGCTAAGATCTCTTCAGTGTGGCAGAGAGGTTCACAGGCGGCACAGGACTGCGGGACCCCCCGCCCGCGGGCAGGGCACTCACCGTGCAGGGTCAGGAAGTCGCGGCCCGGGTCCATGCCCGTCGGGCGGGTGGGCGCCCGCGGGACTCGCGGGAGCAGAAGTAAGGCGGGCGGCCTCGGGTCCGAGCGCAGCTTAGTGCGGGACCCGACTGCGCCTTGGTGGGAGGAGGTCGGGGTGGGCCTGACGCCGCCACGCCCCTGGGCCTAAGCCCCCGCCCCCCGGGCCTTCCAACCCGCTTCTCTCCCCGCCCCTCCTGGGATTTGGGAAAGGAGGCAAAGCCCGAGGCTTGCCACACCAGCCAACCCTGGCCCCGGCCAGTGGGTGTGTCCGGGCCAGAAATAGTCAGATCCTTCTCGCTTCCTCTGCCACCGCCTTCTACAGGTCTCAGGCCCTGTTATTACTGCAGGCCGTCCGCCCCACGCCCTGCCTGGGGTTGCCTGACTGTGCCTGGGTGATGCTGGGAAGAATCCGGTGTCATCCGAAGGAGAGGATCGAGAAAAGTCCAATGACAGATGAGTTGCTGCGTAAGGAGCCGCGACACGTAGGCGTGTGACTGTAGCTCTCGGAGTGTCTGCTTTCCCTTCTGTGAAATGGGGGTGTGGGCACCAACTGGGAGATCGTTAGAGAGCTGGACTTGGACCTGCTCCAAAGGAGGATCC